GACTGTGATAACCAACTCAAAAAGACAGCATAATTGTAGCTAATAAATTCTAATTATGCTAAATGCACATAGCATAGCAAGAAAATTATTACACAAAGTAAGCGAATATAAATATAATTTCCAAGCTATGTACTTGCCAAATGGCATTATCAAACCAATAAACTGGACAGAAAAAAATTGGGTAAATTTATGTGCACATTAGTAACATGACTTGTTAGCATCTAGGCTATAAAATCCAGATTGATTGCACAATGACTATTAGGGGAAATAGAAGACAAAGAAAAACAGGTTAGACTTTGCCATGCTAGCACCTATGTCATATAATATAAAGCTTAATTTATAAGAGTTTATGACATTAACTCATTTTTATTCTTTTCTTGAAAATCAATCTAAAGAACAACCCACAAAAATAAAAATAAAAAAAAACTCAATGTATAGCAGACTTCAAGCAAAAAGAAAAGAAAATTAATTTGTGAAAACAATTACTAACCCTTTCCCCAGCAATCATTTTGGGAAAAAAACGTTTCATTTTATGACAAATTTTTTTATTTTTTTTATTATAGTAACTAAGAAAATGAGGCACTTTGAAGTACCTGAGTGATGGCTAACACATCTACCAGGTGTGTGAGTTGACAATTAGACTTGTTTCATGCTCAGAAGGGCATAAAAAGAATCAAGATCAACATATAAACATGTCTGTAGCTGTTTTTTGAACATTATGTTTTGGACATGTTTATTTGTCCATGTCTGAAAAAGACACTTTCAGTAAAAATGTATATACATGTCTATGCTGGGGAGGGGTTTAAAAGCAGATTGATACTATGAAGAGAATAGAATTTTTGGTTTAAAGTTATGAATCACAATTGAAGAAAATTTCTATAATGAATTTCAACAGTCGAATAAGAGTTTAGGTCTGTAGTCTTCATGCTTTGATCATTGAGATTTCATGTATTTTTTGGGTGAAAGCAGCAAAAGAGGGCAGTGCCAGTTGGGTTGGCATAAACTTGACCAAGTATCTAACAGCCTGATGTAACCAGGTTTATCAGATCTTACCTGTCTCAATCCCCTTTGAGCCATGAGGGAGGCACATCTGGCCAAGTATATGGATTTCCCTATCATGAAGAATTGTTCACCAAAATCAGAATCATGTGAATGGCCTTGTCAAACTCTCTTTGATTCACAGCCATCTCTACCACTGACACAAGGAGAGAGAGAAAGGGAATAGGGAGAGATGATGATGATTCTAATGCTTGGTATAGAGCTGAAGTAGACTTTAGAAGTAACTGGAAACCCAATATTAAACAGGAAACAGAGGATAAACCTCTACTCCTGTTCAAAAGACCAAGGTGGAGTGTGAACTGGATGATAAGCAAACCTATCTATTCCTATCTAGATTTGTATATAACCATAGACCTATATATATATATATATATATATATATATATATATATATATATATATATATATATAATAATACTAATATTAAATTGATAAAAAATGAATATAATTTACTCAGATAAAGATGCATTAAAGGGCCATAGTCTACAAATACGTGATTTATACTAAATTAGTACTGAAACAATGTCTGATATGTAAATCTTAAAATAACAAATAGATTATTAAGAATAAAAGTAGACTTGAAATTAGTTAAAATCTAATCTTTATAATGATACAGTTAAAATAAAAACAAAGTATTCACCTGCTTAATTTGAATCATGATTTGTCTTGCTAATGTAGATTTTGCAGAAATAAAACTCATTTTTCAGATGATGCCAATTCATGAGATGAAATTAGAAGTTTTCAAAATTGTCTCCTGAAGAGTGGATTGAATAATTATGTAAAAGTTAATTTGAGAAACTATAGTACAGCATGCTGAATATAACATCAATCAGCTAAGTGACAAATTTTATTTGTATTAATCCTAATTTCAACACAGTCTGTACACTGTGGTTGAATAAGACTAACGGACTTTTTGTTGATTGAAATAGATCTATACTCCCCCATATCAGGTAATGTTAGATTTTGTTGTATTATATATATATATATATATATATATATATATATATTTAAACAAGTTTTTGGAGCCACACCAAGATCAGATCATTTTTAAGACAGGGATCATATCATAGTTTATTTTTAAAATAAGATACAATAGCATCACACTGAATAAAATAATAACTTAAGGTAACTTTCAACTGAATCATATTCAGAAATTGATATCATCAGTATAAAACTAAATTGCCAAAAAGAAAAATTTTTTCCAACAACCAAATTTTAAAATAGCACAAAATGGGGAAGGGATAGGAAAAAGAATTTCCCTCAATTTGGCCTAGAATTAGCTACAGATTGACCAAAAAGTGTGAGTGTGTGCTTTAATTCTCTCTGCCTACACAGAGTCAGACATTGTGTATTAATAACAACTGCCCCCAAAATGTTAAGGATCCCTGTCTTAAAATGATCATATATATATATATATATATATATATATGACAAAAGACAATTTGAAAAACTTCTATTTTGACATGTTTCACTGATGAATATATATATATATATATAGGTTCTTTTCCACATTTGTCATCATTAATAACAGGTGCACATAGGGGAATTAGATTTCCTTCTGTGTAGCTAAGTAAGGAAATACCATGTCTGCTATCTTATCCTTTAAATAGAAGAATGCCCCAAATGTTGCAATTCATGGTTTGGCATTTTGACAGAAGTAAATGAGAAGGAACAAAAGAAAAAGAAGAGAAGGGTGGTAAAAAAAAAAAAAAATAAGGTGGTTGTCCTGGTAAAAAAGGAAAGAGGAAGGAAGAAGTTAAAAATCATGGGAATTGAAGAGAATAAAACACTATATGATTTGGATATACAATAATGGCAAATGACAGAAAGACCCATTATATCTTTCTAATGCAAAACTAGTTCATGATGTTCTTAAATAACAGTACAGTGTTTAAAACATAAACCAAAAGATTAAAAACCAATCTCCAGAGTTCAGTGCTACTTATTAAAAGCTTATACATTTTCATTTTACATGCAGCAGTCTGTCAGAGCATTAAACATATCTTTACAGTCCCAATTTACAGAATCTGTTATTTCAGGATCATACGTTGCTCTCTTCATATTGATAATGGTAAATGAGTTCCTCCTGCAAATATGTGTTCTTAAGAATATTAACAAAATTCAGATTTACCATGTTGCTGAGATAATTTCTGTCTGAAAAATTACCTTTATTTGCAATCAGAATATTGTCCTCCTTTATGTTGTTATTATCACAATGTTTCAACCACTGCACCTTCCAGCCTTCTTCAGATGCTTGTCAGTCTGCATAACCACAGAGAATTTTGAACTGGACACTTTATTTAATCTCCAGGATAGATTGTTCTCATTCAGCTTGCCCATGTCTAGGGATGCCTATCTTGTTCTTATTTAGTACTACTCAGTCATTTGGAAACAGAGCAATAACTAAGTTTGCACTACCCAGCTAAGTGATTGAACTCACATATCACTTTGTCACCAAATTCACAAAATATAATATAATTGATAATAATCATTGTAAGCCTCTTCTCCATTTTTTATTTTCATTGGTGCATTTTTAACAAAAAAGCATTAATGAAAATGTTTCCTGTACAATACATTTAACAATGTTGCTCTAGATGTTATGTTAGCCTTGCTGAGTATAGAGCCATATAGGTGATGCTGTGGCAGTTTCCACAGCAAGCATTTCTTTTTTAATTATAATGAATGGTAATTATTATAAGCCTCTTCATCATTTTAAAAAAATTTTGATTTGTGTATTTTTAACAAGAAAACATTAATGAAAATGTTTCCCCATACAAGAAAGATTTGAAATCCTCAGAATATGTACATTTGTATATAGCTACACACAGACACAGACACACACATATATATATATATATATATATATATATATATATATATATATATATATATATATATATATATATATGTATGTATATGTGTGAAAAATATATATATTACACACGTATGTATGTGTGCAATATATATTAATAAAAAATGAATATAATTTACTCAGATAAAGATCCATTGAATTCAGCTGTAATTTGAAATCAGCATACCAATCGCAATTTCTGGGCCAATAACCACCATGTTATGCACACATTTAATGTTGCAATAGAAATATTATATAATTTCATTTTTAATATAATTTGTCTTGGTTTTCTTTTATTAAAAATTCATATCATTCAATATCCAAATATTCCTACCTGAAATGATTTTGCTAAACACTTTATAAATTTTATTTTCTATTTTGATCTCAGCTTAAAGCTATTTTATTATAGTATTTTTTTTTTGACAAAATGTAGGTAAATTCTTTAAAGTTCTGACCATTTTAATTAATACTTTTTAGAAGCTGTTTAAATTTCAAATAAAGAGAGCATCAGAAAAAAAAGGTATGCAAAATATTTACAATATCAGCATTATTGAGTCTTTTTGCATTATGTATTTAACTCCTATAGATCTGAAAAGAGCAAAAAAAAAAACCCCAAAAACAATTTCAGACAATCATAAAAAGAAAAATTAAAATGGAAGAAAAAATTGAAATAAGAACAAGACTTACAGGAGGGCATGATGGTAAAGGAGGAGGTGTCCCTCGCGGCATATATCCATATAAGGTAGGGCTTTGAACATTCCGCACAGGACTAAGAGACTTGGACTGTAAGAAACAAAAAAATAATTGTTAGTGTTTTTATGGCTTAAAAAAATCAAGGATGAAAAAAAATGGATGACAAAGTTTGAATGCTCAATGATGAATTATCAGTTTTTTGCACATTTGTGACAAATAAATTAAGTTTTTACGATTTCATTTCGTACAATCTGAATAGAAATGTAGAGAAAGAAATAAAGGAAATGAAAAAGATTTTAAAACCATAAGATCAAAGGGCAGAAATTTACATTGAAAAAGTGCCTAAAAACATATAATAAAAAATGAAAGAAAAGTATGAAAGGAAGAGAGCAAGGAATCAAAAGAGAAAGGAAATGAGGTAAGGAAAAGAAAGTAAGAGGGTGGAGAGAAGAAAAGAGAAAGTAGGAGAGTGGAAAGAGAAGAAAAGAGAAAGGTAGTGAGGAGTGGAAGTAAGAGAGAAAGGAAGAAAGTGAAAGAAGAGAAAAGAGGGAAGAAAAGAGAAAGGAAGGGAGGAAAGAAAAGATGAGAGAAAGGAAGAGAGGAAAGATGAGAGAAAGGAAGAGAGGAAAGATGAGAGAAAGGAAGAGAGGAAAGATGAGAGGAAGGAAGAGAGGAAAGATGAGAGGAAGGAAGAGAGGAAAGATGAGAGGAAGGAAGAGAGGAAAGAAGAAAAAGTGAAAGGGGAGAGAGGAAAAAGAAAATTCAAAAAAGAGAGTGTGGGAAAAGAAAAAGACAAAGGGAGAGTGGGGAACAAAGAGAAAAGGAAATTAGGAACAAAGAGAAAGGGAGAGTGGGGAATGAAGAAAAAGACAAAAGGAAAGTAGTGAATGAGGAAAAAGAGAAAAGAAATATTTGAAAGAAGATTTACAAGAAAAAACTCAATAAAGTAAAAAGAATGATGTCAATAAATAATAGATAAAAAAAGAGAAAATGGATAGCATAAATAAGAACAAAAGAAAAGATGAGAAAAAGAAAAACACAAATAGTAAAAAGTTGAAAGAAGGAAAATGTAAAGTTAACAAAGATGAAAACTATATGAATGCCAGTGGAATGGACAGAGAAAAAATGGCTAAAAAGTATACAGTCAATCTTATTGACATTGTTTTCCACTTCAATTCACACATGTTCCTTGCAATCAGCCTTTTGTTCCAATATCTGTTTATCTGATAACAATTTCATTACACCAATGGAAATATTTTTAATGACTTATCAGGGACAAAACCACTTTCATAGATATTTCCCAAATTCCCCAAACAGTCTGGTACAATGAAGGGCATCTAGTTGTAAATGCAAATAAAAAAAAGAAATGCTTCAAAATCTGGAAGGGAACTAACCAACAAACAATAAAAGTTTATTATCATTCTTAATCATCTAACTTAGGCTTGTCCAGAAAACAGACATTAATTTAGAATACAAAGATAATGATATTAATATTCTAATTAGGCAATAAAAGCTGTAATGTTTTTATATCAGTGCCTGCTGATAAAGTTTATTGGAAATCTCAAGCTTCAAGAATATTGGTAATTTCTTGTAATTAAGTAGAACTATTAAACCATACAATGATTGTGTAGACGAACATCATCATCTATATGTAGCCTAATGATGAGAAAAGCATTTACGTTACACAACATATTTTTCAACATGATCTTTTTCCTTGTCAATACACTTGATTTATTGAATGTTAATCACATATGTAAGTAAATCAATAAGTCTGTAGTCTAATGATGAAAAAATACATTTACTTAACATAACTATTTTTCAACTAAGATTATCTTTGCCAATGCCTTTAATTCAGTAACTAATTGCATACATTGAACATTCATTATACAGTGAGAATTTCAGATAAAAATTCAGTTGTGTGTCAGATTGTAGACTTATTGCTACTCTACTCTCATCAATAAGTCCATATCTTAAATGATGAAAAAATCATTGCACACAAAGATAGTTATTTTTCAACATAATTTCTTTCCATGTCAATACAAATACCTCAATGGTAAATTTGTATAATATACTTTGTCAGGATACACTTTTGTCCCAAACACACATGTATGGAAGAGTTATGTCGGTGACTTCACCATATGAAATGTAATAAATTTACTAAAACATGTGAGTATGAAAGAATATGAGAAAAAATTATTAAGGGGAGAGGCTAATAAAAGAACAGAAATTAAGGAAACAGAAGATGATGATTGGCATTGCATTTAATTTCTGAAGATCAAAGTTGACTGGAAAGTTCACAAGAAGATGAAAGAACATTCAACAAGTGAGAAGTGTGAGAGAAGAAACTGTTGACATAGAACTTATGGTTACATCTAGCAATTTCAACAATAAAATGATGGCACCTAGCTACCAATCTAGTACACACAATTTTTGAAGTCAATGTATCAAAGAGGGAAGTTCATTAAAACAATTACCATGAAAATATAAACTTTTTTAAAAGAAATTCTATTATGAAATAGGCAGGGAATTTTTAGTTCCTGGAACAAAATAATAATGCTCTAGAGAAAATAATTTTAAAAATAAAAATCATGCCATATCAAATAATCACTGGACTAGTGGTGGTTGGGTGGGTGGAGAAGATTGAAGAGAATAATTCAATGATGCTGGCACTTGTATTTGGTAGACAACATTATGAACTCAGTGATCCATACTCATATAGTCATTAAATAGTAATTCAGTAGTAGACCATAGGATTGTGGCTAATGTTCAGGTTGTTAATATCAAAAATATAAGTATATATACACACACCTATAGAAGTGATAGATTTTTATTTATTAATCAAACATATTTTATTACTTAAATATCATTTTTAGTGGATACACATTTTTGAGTAGATGTTCTGTTTATTTATTAAACAGCATATTTATTTATTTTCCTCTACCAGCCTGAATATTTGAGAGTCAGGGAAAATTTGTGTTTAAAGACACTAATCAACTTTGCTTGATCATCAATGCACTTGTGATGAGAAGTCTAAAGCACATCAGATTTAATGATGGTTTCCCCTGCCCAGGTGGATGCATGTTTGAATCCTGTTGGAGAATGCATACTTTTATTTAATAAGATCTCTTGACTATTCCAGTCAGTAAAATAAAACAAAATAAAATAAATAAATATACAGTTTAATAAATAAACAGAGTGGTTACTCAGATATGGGTATCCACTATAAATAAATAAATAAAAAACCTATATAAATTTATAAACTTTCTTAAATGTTTATTTTTTTCTTTTAATTTTTTTTTTTTTTTTTTACAAGAAATTTTTTTTGATTATTCATGAAGAGAAATAGATAAAGCTTTTAGTTTGGTTTCATTTATTATAAAGGTTTGTTTTTATTTTACATCATGTCAGATGCCATTATATATACATATAAATATGTATTTCAGTAAGTGTTGGGCGTATACCAATTGATGAACAGGACATATGAAAATGAAGAGTAGAAATGAGAAGTGAATGAAGACAGTCATTTCCCAATAACATTGGAAACAGAAGACAAAGAATAGTTTTTCTTCTCCTCCTTTTCATCTCTTATATATATATATATATATATGGAGGGTGTGTGTATTGATGCATTCCACATAGTATCTAGTTTATATGTGTATGATTGCATACATGCAAAGCACATTTGTTTTAAAAAATGTTTATTCATATGCATATAATGGATGAATATTTGTTTATATATATATATATATATATATATATATACACACACACACAAACAAAAAATTCTGTTTATTTCTATAGAGATACATGTGTGTGCATATATATATATATTATTATTATTAAAAAGACACATTGACAAATTTATACACACTTATATATGTATACATTTGGCAATGTTTTTGTTTAATTCTGTGTATATATGTTCATAAAATATTTGAATGCGTGTATATATATATATATACACACACACATGCTCACACTCTCATATTCAAGTAATTGAATCTATATCTGTAATTGAGAGAGGTTTGCATTGGTGGGTTTGGGTGTGTGTGTGTATATATATGCCATTTTATGTACTTAATTCTGTGCGCATAAATGTGTATGTATAGTTTGTAATAGTGTATAATCATATCACATTTGTAAACTGTTATTTTATGGTTTAGGGTTGGATGGCTTTTCTTTCACAAGATGACAAACAAATGAAAGGGTTTGAAGATTTATATTGCAAAATAGCAAAAGGGACAGAATGCTAGCAGAAAAGTAAGATTGGGTTGGGGTTAGGGAGCACTGGAATCCAAGGTGAATCTTGCAGGCGGCAATGGATATGAATATAGCAAAGTGCAGAACATCTACAACTCAAGGCTGTCTTTGCTCAGCAAATCTCTAATCAGGACTCGTTTAGTTTGCGGTCTTGATTATCAAGAAGAAAAACTCTACCAATGGAAAAGTCTTTGAGAAATGAAGGAATCTCTTTATTGTATGGTGATGATGGCGCCAGTGTTCGGTTTTCTTTTAATGCAAACTTAACAAGATAAAAGATCCAAGTTATTGCATTGCTACATTTCTGATGTTGGTGGTGGATGAAAGGGTTTGAGCATAATAGAAAAATCACTATCCTTATGCTTATCCATAATGAGTGGAAAACATGGGCAGTCTGGTAATTACTAATGTTTTGCTTGGGCTTTGGTTAAAATGATGATGTCAGTCAGGCTTACAAGTTTCTGCCTCTTTTAGAATGCATATCTAATGAAGCTGACAAGTTGAGGAAAGGAAGAAGTGGGGTTTGTTTTAAAGAAAGAACAAGTAGAAAAAAAAAACAGGGAGTTTTCTATTGAAGAAGCTAAAATAAAACCCAAAGTCAGATTATTACAGCTGATCTTACTTTACAGGGTTCAGTATTGTCATAACTGTAAATGTTTATTAAAGTGAATAATGTTGGTCCTATAACTGGCTAAATATTCCTTTCAGCTGACTTGGAAAAAGGCCACAAAATATCACCTATTCATAATGTTTCTTTCTTAACTAGGCAACAGAGACACAAGAGGTTATTGAGTGCAAAAGAATATAAAAAAAAAAAACATTCTTAAGGAGATAGAACAAAAAAAGAACAGGAATTAAGACAGAAGATAACAATTGCATTTAAATTTTTGAAGATCAAAGTTGACTGGAAAGCTGAAAGTGAGTTCCACAAACAAGAAGTGCAAGTGAAGAAAATATTAGCCTAGAATTTATGGTTACATCTAGCCATTTCAACTGTAAAAGGATGGGACCAAGCTGCCAAACTAGTACTGTACTTAAATTCATAAAGTTGAGATACAAAGAAGAAAGCTCATCAGAACAATTACCATGGAAATATTTATAGAAAAGGTAAAGGGAAGCTGAGATGCCAAGTCTGGACTGGTAACATTGTAGACCAGATGTGATAGCATGACTTAGAATTACTACTATGTCTACACAATACAGCTTAGAACATAAACACAGAAAATATACTAGAAACAAACCTCTTGAAAATGTCTTATGAATTGGTCAAAAGCACTAGAAGTAATAATCATGATGAATAGTTTCTACACTTTAAAAGTGTAGAAACTATTCATAAAAGAAAAAATGTAAGAACACTTGAAAAACTGAATAAAAAACTTCTATGAAACATGTATAAAAGAAAGATTGCTGCCTAAATATACTATATATAATGTCTGCCACCTTGATGTTGAATATGACCATTGCAATTCATCATTGTGAGACTTAGATGTGCCATGCACAGATGTTGCTTTTTAAACTGGACAAACTTTTAAAACCTTTAAGTACAAAGTTGGTAGACATGAGACATACATTTTGCTGTCATTAGATTTATTTTGTGAATGCCTGCTCCTCTCTCTCTCTCTCACATATACATACATATATATATATATATATATATATATATATATCCTTCCACTTGCCTGAGGAGACCTTACGGTTGTTACCTGGGTTGTGAAATTGGTTGCCATTTTAGCCATTTCTTATATATATATATAGTAATAAAATTAAAAGTACCCTTATCTTGTTTCTGCTCAGAGTTTCACAGAGATTACATCCACACATGATGAGTGCATGTATTTTCCAGGAAACTCTGAGTAGAAGTTGAGAAACCTGGTTCAGATTCTTCTTTGGATTTTGTCAAGAATCTCAAGATGTACAGCAGGAGCACCAGACTAGATATGGCAGTAATATTCAATGCACGGGTTAATGGTAGATTTATAAATGTGCAAGATGGACTCTGACAAGTAAAGTTTTCTGGTATGACACAGTGAACCCACTTTCTTTGCAGTAGATATATATTAATGAAAATAACAATATATTGCAGTGACTGGTCTTTTGGTTGAATTGGTGTATTAGTTACCATTCATGTTCAAGGCCAAGAAAAAGGAAAAGTTTTGAATGTTTTTTTTTTTTTTAGCTAAACAAGATTTCCCCACTGGATGTTCACATAATGTAGCTTCTACTGGCATGAAAAGAAGGATTTTCCTGTTGTGTTAAAATTCCAACTATGGCTGTTGCATTTGCAAATATATTCTTGTAAAAATATGAACTTATCTCTTCTCTCCACTTTCCAATGCAGGGTTAACGGCAAGATAGACTTAGATTTCTAGTTTTGATTGGCAACTAGTCTAGCAGGAAAATAACTATGAATTAAAAAACTATCTGGGTGCTGGGCTAGCAGCTGCACCCTGTAAAAACCTACTTGTAATGGATACCACAGCAGCAATACCTACTGTGCCTCTATACTCCAACAGAGAAGTCCACAAGGTAACATGCATATGCCTTCCAGGCACATGGAGTCCATAGGGTTAACATGACAACATTCTCCACTTGAAAGATTAATGTAACACAATCTTCCTTTGATTTTGTTTCTAACTCAATAAATTTGAAAGCAATATATTTAGACATGCTTAAAAACAATCAGCCAAATTTCTAAACCACATTCATCTTTTTAACTCATATAGGTAAATTCATTTAACAAAATCAGTTGGCATATTTGTGTTTTAAACAAGAAGTGTCTAATTCCTAAATTAGATTCAAGACACAGCCTCATAATTATAGCAGTGCCACTCCTACTGTTTCACTTCCCTTTCAACTTTTCTTTGTAAAACTAATTATTTACCTTTGATTTTGATTGCAGTGTGTCAGAAAAAAAAAGATGATTGTCTCAATTATGAGAAGTCATGCTGCATCAGTCAGATATCACCTAAATATATTTTGAAGCTGAAACTAAATAAGAAGCAATGATACTATTTCATTACAGTATTTAACTATAAAATTTACATACTGAATTTGTACTATCACCATTACCAAATTTTATACTATAACCAGGTGCTGAAAAATAATCAGACTGGACTCTTTCTCAAAATCTAACCAAAGAACCAAACATCCACATTTTGATTTTAAGTATGGTTCCTTTTAAATCCAATTTTCTTTAAGATTTCCTTGTTAACTGAGTCTTATACTTTGCTGTCATGGCTTCTTGTAGCTAAATGGTAAAGCATACCTGGCTTGAAGGTGGTTTAAATTAAAGGGAACATAAGCTTGATTCCTGTTGAAATGCACATTTTCTTTTATAAGACTTTCAATCTGTATATTGGTAGATGTTAATTTCCTTGTAATAAACTATATATATATATATATATATATATATATATGAGATAATGGTATACATTTTTATATAGCAAGAAACAGTATTGAGGAAACTGCAAGATAAAATGGAAAAGGTTTGTTGACATTGTTATGACTACACATTTGCATGAACAAGAGAATGTTGGTAGTTTAAAAATTTTGAAAGAATATTTTTTTTTAAATAATTTTTTGCAATATTGCCAAATTCAGCTATAAAAAAAGAAAAATAATATAGATGATTTTGGCTAGATTGCAAAAAATTATTTTAAGAAAAATATTCATTCAAAATTTAAAAAATACCAACGTTCTCTCATTCTTGTGTATATGTAATCATAACAATGAACCAGTCCGATGAAGTCCTAACAGATGAAATGTTTTCCATTTTGTCTTACAATTTTCTCAATACTCTCTATATATATCTTCATACAGGTATTGTTGACTGTAACAGACAAAAAAAATAGCTATTTTTTTTATCAACTTCTTTTTTAGCTCTGAACCAAATGCTTTATATTAGTTGAAAATGCCTGAATTAATAGTCTATAGTTGAAGTGATAATTGATATTGAAAGGATGATTCCTAGTATTTCTAAGTGTTCTGTTGATCATCATCAGGGTGGAGGCACGCAAAAATAAAAGTTATTAATTTCTGTCTTAGAAATTTTCTGAATAACCAATTAATTCCTAAAATATTTTTCAATAGACTACAACAAATATCAGTAACTTTTAACTTTTCTATGACTCCACCCTGATTATGATCCGTAAAACAGTCGCAAGTATTTGGACATATCCATTTTAGCAATTTATAGCTGTTCATTCATGGATTTTCATTGAAACCAAGAAAAGTTGCTTAAAAACATAACTGCCATTCTTTGCCTGTTACATTCAACAATATACATATATATATATATATATATATATATATATATATATATATATAGCTCTTGAAAATATATTTTCAGTTGAGTACTGTTGAATGACAAACTCATTCTAAAAACAACACCCATTTGCATTAATGCAAAGCTCTTTGGTAAAATGAATGGAGCACTTAGGTTGTATGACGTTTGTTTACATTTGTAAAAACAATACACTAGATTTGGCTGATTCATTCTGTTGAGTGAAGATAGCTCATTGGTAGAGACTCTGACTGACATCAGATTGGTTGGGTTTCAATCTGGGCTTAAGGCATTTGGATATCTAGTCACACTGAAGAGCTGTGATACAGCAAAACAGTACTGTCTGTGAATTATATATATATATATATATATATATATATATATACACACACATATTTCATATATATAATGATGTTTTATAAAAAAGAAAATGTAAAATCTTGCTTCATCTTCAATTATGCAAATGAAAATCCTCAAAATATGTTTATAACCCAACAAACATTTGTGAAAACTATCTGCAGATGAATGGAGCAACATTATAATAAAAATAAAAGTATTAATACTGTTGTTTTTGTTGTTGTTGTTGATGATGATGATAGTAATCTCATCATCTAAAAAATAGGAAGGGGAGGTTTACACCATATTCTTCCTTTTAACAAGTCTATGAATAATTCATAGAAGAAGGGAATAGATTGAAGATGAGAGCTGGTTTTTAACAGACCCTTAAAAATGCATTATCAGAAATACATTAGAGGCATGCTCATGTTCTTTGTGAAAGTGACTAAACCCTGAGGATTGGCAGAGATGGGGTGAAACCATGAATTTACTTGTGTATTCAATCAATCCATTTTCAGTATAAAGTTCACTTTAAAAAATGGATCCTAGATAATCCCATCACAATGGAATAAAGAGAATAAGAAAGTAAAATAGAGAGTTGGAAAAGAGAGGATGAGGAAGCAATGCTATTAGTGAAATAAGGAGGAGGGGAAAAAACAGAGAGTAAGTTTCTGTTAAGGAGGAGAAAAAGGAAGAAGATGGAAGAAAGAATAAGAGAAAAACAGGGAGAGAGTATTGGTAGCAGGAAGAGTGTAGTGTCAAAGTAGAGAAAATGAAGTTGTAATCACTGGGTTGGACAAAGAGATATAAACAGAGAAGTGGATAGCTGAATAAATGAAGGAAGAGAGAATGAAACTAAAATGAGACAGAAAAGAAGGATGTATGAAAAAAAGAGAGAGGCAGTTTCAAGAGGTATGAATAAGAGAGATAATAAGAATGAGAGAAAAAAAGAAAAACTGACATGGGAATAGAAGGCAAGAAAGAGAGGTGAGAGTTGGGGTAAGAAAAGAAAGAGGTGAAGAAAGGAAAACTATAGGGTTAAATTATAAATAGAGAAGCAAAGAGAAGCTGTGTTGAGAATAGAAGGAAGAAAGATTAATGACTGAAAATACAAAAAGAAAAAATTAAAAATAGTAGAAGAAAAGGAAGAAGAAAAAGGAGAAAAACAAAAGAGGAAAAAAGGAGAAAAATAAAAAAATGTAGAAAAATGAAGGAAGAAAAAGTAGAAAAATGAAGGAAGAAGAAGAAGTAGAAAATGGAAGAAGAAAACAATGAATAAAGAAGAAAATGAAAGAAGAAGAAGTAGTAGAAAAATAAAGGAGGAGAAGAAGAAGAAAAATAGGCAAAGGAATAGCTGATATATAGGAATAAAAACTGTATAAAGAAAAAATAAAAAACCAAGAGTGTATGTTTAAAAAAAGAAAACTTTCTGGAGTTTAATTAATGAGATTCTGTATATGTATGTTTCAGGGATTTGAAAAAGGATAGTTTTATCTGTCACTATAATTGGAATATCTTATTAAACAAAATCAGTGAAAGACTTTTGAAAGCATTTTATAATGGCGAGGTGATATCAGACTTGAAAATTCAAGGTGAAAACAATTTGCTCAACCCCACCAACTAAATAATTTTTTTTCTTCTCATTCATCTAAATTCACCAATTAACCTCATGATTCTTTTCATATATCTATCACTATCCTCATTAATTTTCTAGTTCTCCCAAACATCCCTCTACAGGGATTTACTCAGCTAAAGATAGTCTGACACAAGACCACAAATCTGGGAGTGCTGGTAAGTATCAAACTTACAGTTGCAATGGTTTACTTGGCTTGTTTGCTGACTGTTCCATGGCAGTAGTAGTGTTTTATGCTTTTAGTCAAATAGGTCTGCTTGGAGAAATAACTCCTACCATTTAAAAGAATAACCTTTCACATGGTGATTAGTCTTGAAGAGGAAAAGGTCATTGATGCTACAGGCAATAAGCATTTACTCTATTTATTACTCACTTTTCAACAACTATCTTGACACCACATTTTTATATCTTCTATCCAGAGCTAAAAAAATAGCACAATGAGAAATAGAAATAAATTAAAGAAAAATAATGATGACAAAACCCTCTGCACCCTGCAAAGAAAACAAACAAACAAAATTGAAAGAATATAATAATTTTATTTTTGGATTTTTTAAAATCAATTCACCACAAGCAACCACTAGGATACATAGGGGGGTTACAGTGTGTGAAAGAATATGAGAAAAATAAAAACATTATTAAGAAGATAGAACAATAAAAGAACATGAATTAAGACAGAAGATAATGATTGACATTACATTTAAATTTTTGAAGATCAATGTTGATTGGAAAGCAAGAAGCCAAAAGAGAGTTCCACAAGTGAGAAGTGGGAGAAAGAAACTGTTAGCATAGAGTTACATCTAGCCATTTCAACTTTAAAATAATGGGATCTAGCTGCCAATCTAGTACTGTGTTTAAATTTAAAATGCCAAAGAGGAGAGCTCATCAGAACAATTATCATGAAAATATTTATAGAAAAAGCACAGGGAAGCTATGTTACAGTGGTGGGAAAGTCACTGAATCTGAGATGCCAAGTCAGGACTGACAACATTGCAGATTCTTCTTTGGCTTTTATCAAAAATCTCTAAATACATAACAGAAGCACAAGATCAGATGTGGCAGTAATGTTCAATGCATGAACAAATGGTAGATTTATAAATGCCCGAGATAGATTCTGGAGAGAAAAATTGTCTAGCATGAACAAACTTTTCTATCTTGCAAATCTAGCAATTTATTCAATATAATCTTTCCACTTCATGTCAGTGGAAAACATTAGCCCAAAAAGGTACAATGTGTCATTCACTGGAGGTTAGCATCCATCATGATGAAGGAAGGCAAAAAAAGCTTCTCTAAGATGTTTAAGAGTCAATTATGATTTTTTAAAATGCAAGATAACAGAGAAACTGATAACCAGCCCTTGAAAACTTCCAGAAGAGGTAGGATTCTCAAAATAGGGACCATTATATAAGCTTCTAAAAACAAACATGTATTTTCAAGAAATTAAAATACTTTTGATACGCCCCAGAAGATATAGTATAAAATACATAATAATAATAATAATAATAATAATAATGATAGATATAAAATTATTTTCTTTTTTCATCGACAATTCTATTTGTTGCTTTTAACTATAAATTTTCTTTCTTTGTAAAGTTTTCTGCTAGCTACTTCAGCAAATCTATAAATCTAATGTGTAACAGGAGAAAGTAAATCTGCATTATTACTAAGCCTTGTCCCCTAGACACATATCAAATTTTTAAAAGAAATAGAAGTTTATATGACAAATAGAAAACATTCCAGTTGGTAGCATTGGCATAAAAGTTGCTGAAAAGAAACCAATAAAGATGAGTAATTTTTTTTTTTTTTGCAAAGTTTGGAATGTGACTGTCATCAGACAATGTCTTTTTTATCATCTTACTATGTAAAAGCTAATGTCACTTTTGGTTTGTTTATTAGGTTTCTTTTATACTAATGCAAACAGATATATAAAAATAAGTGAACCCTATTCAAGGATGTGTGTGGATAGTATAGCAGTTAATGACAGGGAAAGTGAAATCAATGAACCAGGTTCAAATTCTACCCTACTCTGTTGCATTGATTTTTGCACAAGCACATGGATATTTCTCTTCTCCCCCACCTCCAGCTATCTGTTAAATAGCAGAGTTGACTGGCATCTCTGGTCTTGGGTGGTAATCAGCCTAAGAGAAGTTAAACTTTGACTTCTGAACTGTGGCAAAACTAATGGGAAACCACTCCACTATCTTTCTCAAGAATGCAAGGTAATTTGCAGATAATAAATAAATAGAATCTGTAGATGTGTAGATAGCTATGATCTCCTGTATCCTGATGGGACTTGACATTTTAGCAAAAGAAACCCTGATTCACACCTCCATCTTGGACATGGGAAAGCATACAAATATGTCAGTTTATTGCTGATAAAATATTAGAGGAAAATTAGCTTTGGAATAAACATTTTTTTAAAGTTTGTAATATTTATATTTCAATGAGTCATTTTTACTTATTTTTTAACTAATTTCAAGCAACAAAAATTAAATTCTATGTCTGCTTTAAATTCTTATTACATTTTAAAATCACAGCTGTTGCTTTAAAGTTTGAATTCTATGTCTGCTTTGATTCTCTTTGTAAAGTGTTTACCAGTGATTTTATAGCCATCTGCTTCTTGAGCTGCTTTTATCTTGTTTTTGTATTTCAAATAATCACGGCTTTTTCTTTATTCAAATAAGATTTTTTAAGAATTTTATTACATTTTAACATGACAGCCAATGAACATGGAAGATTCAAATGAATGAAGATTGTGAAGGAATGAGAGAAAAATATTATGAAAGTGAAGATCAAAAAACAACAAAAGAGATTCAGATGTTTTAAATATTCAGAAAAATAGAAATGAAACTTATATATATAAAATATGTATGTATGTATGTATGTATGTGTGTGTGTGTGTGGTGGGGGAATGTATGACAAAGTGGAAAAAGTTTTCTTGTGATCTTTAGGACTTAATTGGACTAAATTTGTTATGTTGATGTGACTACACATGTGCATAAGGGATGCTGGGAATTTTAAATTTAAATTTAAATCTTTTTTTATCTACCTTCCAGGAATGGCAAAATGTATGAATGTGTGTGTGTGTGTGTATATATATATATATATATATATATATATAGTTTATGCAAACTTAGATAATCCGTATGGGTAGACCTGAGGAGGATGATATCCAGAGAGCTCAATGTAAAATTCAGAGCAGATATGTTTGAATAAAAGACAGACCACATTAAGATTCCATGTAATAAGCTATTTCACCATAACCCCTTTAACAAATATATATATATATATATATATATATATAAATCCAGGGTTTAAATTATTTATATTTATATATATGCTCTGAAGTGAATTCAGTTGTCTAGTACTCTTGAGCACTATTTTGGCTTAAGGCTTCAGCACCTGTGCCATGGAACTAGTTTCACTTTATTGAGCACTTTTTGCTATACTGGCAAGCCTTTCCAGGTGGAAAATTTTTTTTTTGTTTTATTTTTTTTTTTCCATTTTATTTATATATATATATATATATATATATATACACACACACACACTGAATGGTCACTGTTTCATGCTGCATATATTTATATATGCTTTGTTGCTAATATTCACCACTTTTCCCCCATAAATATAGAATATGTTAAAAAGTGTGTGTATATATATATATATATATATATATATATATAAGACATAAGACAAAAGTGAAATTTTTCTTTGCCAATGTGTATACTTCTCTGATGGACTTTATCAAGGTAAGTGTCCATCAGAAAACAAAACATATTGGTTAAGAAAAGTTTTCTTTTTGTCTTTATTCATATTATCTTTTTATAGATATATTTTATTCAATATTTTAATTTTTACACACACACACATGCACATATATATGTGTATATGTGTGTGTTTGATTTTACAAATGTTTATATTTTTTGGCTGCTTTGAAACCACAAGGAGTAGGAATGAATAAGCAGACAGGAGTTGTATAGACATAAAAGTATTGAGGAAAACAATGTGTAAAAAAGGGAATAAAAAAGAGAGAGAAAGAAAAAAGTGTTTACTGTGAAAAGTTTTAAAACAACTCTAAAATAAAAAATTAGGTAAAGAATGAAAAGAAAATCCAAATGTCTTTCAATAATTGGTACAATTGACACTGTCTTATGGTAAAGGATTTGGAATAAAACCAAATTTTCTAATATTATTCCTGTACTTGTTGGCCCTGTGTCTTTTGTGATGGGGTCAAGTCTGTCCAATCTTGGAAGACAAACAAGATGATGAGCTATAATGAATGGTCTGAAGAAATGGCAAAGTGTTATGACAGCAAGGTTTGGGGTGGGGTATAGTGCACTGAAATTGCTTTAACTATTTCTCTGTCTCGCCATAATGATAACATCAAACACTCCTAGGTTAAGAATATTACTAATAGTTAAATATACATACTCAGAGCTGCATATATACACTTTACTTCAAATACACTAAATTCTGTGTCTAAATCTATGTATACAAGCAAAATATATATATATATATATATATATATATATATATATATATATATATATATATATATGTCCTCCAAGGATGCATACTTTCTAACAAGATTTTCCAAATATTCAGGCCAGTAAGATGTAAATAAATAAATAAATAAATACACTGTTTAATAAATAAATAAAAACAGAGCATCTACTCAAATATGAGTATCCATTTTAAAAATAACGTTTAAACAAATAAATAATATGTCAGATTTAATCCATTTCATATAAAAAAATATTGTCTTTGTTTATATTAGGATACAAAACAGAGCAGTGATGTATATATTGTGAATTGGTAAGAGTATATATATATATATATATATATATATATATATGTAGGTGTAGATGTGTAGAAGAAAGAAAGGTTGGTGAATTAGTTTCATAGGTCATTATTGTTACAGTGAGTTCCACCCTGTGCATCACAATTGAGGTCTTGTGTCAGACTAAACAAGATTTTGTAAATATTAAGTTATCTAACATAGTACAATGATTATCACATCTAGCAGGCCAATTCAATAGTGTAATGAGTTTGATTCTTACTGGGGATGGGAGCTCACTTGTGTGACATTGTGTCAAACTATTCACAATTTTGGAAATAATAATATATAAAGATGCATCAATATGTCTGCAGTTTTAGTTTGGTTTCTTTTATTTTGTTTTATGGTTTATCAACCTCAGTGAGTTATTTAATGCCTATAAGTATTTTAAGATAGGTTTGTATGAATAGAATGCATTAATTTTTTTTTTTTTTCAAAATTGTATTGCTGGTAATATTTTTTTTTCTTTCCAAAAATGTATGAGTGGCAATATTTTCTTTCAAAAATATATTGCTGGTATTTTTACTATAAAAATTTATTTTTATACTTTCATAGCATCTTGATCCCATTTTAGGGTTTAACTATTTGCCCATAGCTGGGACCCTAACTGGTGCTACCACCCTGTCTGCAGTTTTATATCGAGTTATTAATTGAAATATGAGCCAAAATTTTCATTATATAATGTTTGATCTTTGTGATTAATATTTACCATTGAATTATGCGCATTGACAAGAGATTACTGTATTTTCCATCATATAAGGCAAACTTCATTTGTAACAATCTCATAAAAAAATTTCCTCTAAAAATATATTCCAAAATTCACCACACAGAAAATTTCCAAAAGTCACTACCAAAAATAATCCTCAAAAAAATTATTCCACAAAAATATATTCAGAAAAAGTCACCACATAATCACTCCCAATATTATTCACCACTGAATTAAATTCATTGACAAAGAGATTGCTGTATTTCCCACCATGTTAGGCTCACTTTTTTCAATAAATTTCATCCAAAAAGTCATACCCCAAAATAACCCTGCAAAAAATCTCTAAAAACAACCACTCAAAATCACTGTGTTTTATACCTTGAGGGAGAGGTTATCATAATTAGGCTGACACTTAAAACATTGTTTAACTCCGTCATTTTCTTATGGTCTTAGAATGAAACATCCATGATTATACATGACTAAATGAGGATGATAAATGAAAATAATGTTAAAATATTTTTAAAATTTCTTAATATTTAAGTATGAATTAATCATCTGTTAAATATTATTATGTTTCTTAAATATTCTTTATTATATTAAAGTTGAGAAAATATGGCAGAAAATATAATATATTAAAAAACAAGCATTTCTTACATCAAATAAATATTTTTTTCATCTTTGGGATATGAACTTATTGATTTTCCTCTACATATGAGATTGTTCTCACCCTTACCCACTTCTCAAAATTTGTCCTAATTACCAAATATCAAAATTTCTGAATCACTTTTTGGCTGGTCCCAGAGCCTTTCACTATCTCCATTGTATATGCCATATTTGTCAGATTGTTCCACTTGATAGAGTATTTTTATCACATTGTTTTTTTAGTGTGCCTGTCTTCATCTTCATTTATATTTTTTGCCAAAGTTTTGCTCTATCTCAATGTCACCCATGTTCCTTACAAACCTGTATGGTGAGTCTTAAAATAAAACAAAACTGAGCAAGGATTTAAAAAGTTACTTTGAAAATAAGATACATATAAGTTTTCATAAGAGCTTTTAAAATGAGATTTCATTACTACTATACATTGATTTATTTGGACCAGTTTCCTTATTGTCTATAACTTTGACAAGAGACATTAACATAATTTAACACTATTCAAAAAATCTGTTTTGAAGTGGGATTGCCAAATTTGGCTTTTACATAATATATGCTATTTGCATATGTTGGTTATAGAATAAATAAAGTAAAGAGTAAAGAGACAAACAAGAGAAAGTTGAGTACTGATCATGTGACGTAAACAATACTATACAACACCTTTCTTTATTCTAGATTATTATTATTGAACAGAGAGGATTCTTTTTTCCCTTACAGATTACATATGAGTAGAAGTGAGGAATGATATTGGTCAGACTAGCCATTCCATTATAATGAAACATTCAGCATTCATTGACTGAATAATTACCATTACTGTCAGCTGAAATTTCTAAAAATCTTTCTCTTAAAATCATTTTTCAAGAAAATAGTTTTCTCAAGTCCACTATCTGCTTTTTCTAACCTTTTGTATAGCATGTCAACATTTTGCTTATGTCATTATTTTCCCTTCTAGTTACATGCTATCCATTTTAGTTGTTACTGCTATGGAAAATCTCTAAGTGATATGATTTCTGTTCTTTTTTTGTTCTATAGCACAAGTCTACAAAATCCAATGAAGGACAGTACTCTTCAAGAACCACAGGACTCATTCACTTGAACCCAATTTTATCCAAATCATTGATCTGAGAAAATGGTTGTATATAGTTGACAATTTAGTTATTTCTGAATGAGTTGGATGTTATGCATAACATCCATATGAGAGTCAAGATCTGACAAGGATATTTTAGAACATGACTTAAGTTCTTAATAGATCAGATAAAACAGGTTGTTAACAGAAACTACACAAATTTCAGCATTCAAACAATGATGGACAATTTCCTTATCACTCATAATATTTTGGTTGATATACACACCAGCCTTCCTTGGATATCTTGTCTTCAGTAACCATTGGGGAAATGTTGAATGAAATACTTTATTTAATCTGTTAGCGTAAAACTAATCTGGTTCTGTAGAGCAGAGGTCAGAAACCTTTTGCTAACTGTGCCAACTTAGGGTTTTAAAATCATTCAGTGTGCCAACAGCATACATATTTTTATACAAGTCAAGGCCAATATACCTGTTCTATAATATATTTTATATAGTAATATATAGTATATATACTTTAGTATATATTAAAATTGAAACAGCTAAATATCTTCTTTGTATTGTAGTAGTTATTGGTTTGGAATTTGTGATGTTGTTTGCGGCTGCATGCCTTTGGAAATTGCTTGGTGTGCCACATGTGGCATGTGTGCCATAGGTTGTCGACCCCTGCTGTAAAGATTGCAATTTAAGTCCCTGGATCAGCAGAGAATTAAATCATCATGATCATCATAAGGAAGAATTAAGAAGTTCTGAAAATCAGATGGATGCTGGGTGTGTCAGAAAAGTACACACCATAGAGATTAGATAAGAGATTTCAGACAACAGTTCCAGAAGGTTACTAAATACAAAAACAACCAAAAACGGGCTGAAGATTACGATGGCTGAAATGTATCAAAAACAATAAAACTGGCATGAATGAATCAACATAAAATTGAAAGTTTTTAATCAATGATATTCAGAATGCAGTGAAAAATCTTCTTTTCAAGATGTTTTCTCTGGACAGGATTGAGATGCAATATAATATTTTTATGTCTGAATTTCTGGAATGAGAAGTTATCATAATTTACATTCAGACTAATATCCTCATCTTTGTTGTTATTATCACAGTGTTTCAGCCACTGAAGATGGCTAGAGAGCCCAACAACCAAAACAAAGATGAGGGCATTAGTCTGAATGTAAATAATGTAAATAGTGTCCTTAATTTATATTTATTTTTTTTACACATGTAGAAAATTAGATATTTACACTCTTAAAATCTATATGTACAGGCAAATGTATATTCATGATATAATAGCATACAATAAAGCACACATGCATATATATATATATATATATATATATATATATATATATATAGGAGGCATGGTGGAGTAGTGGGTAGCAGCCTGGACTGAAGGCTTGGAAAGCCAAGTTTGAATTCTAGTTGAATCCATTACATTCACATACATGCTAAAATTGTTGGGAAAGGTAGGAATACTCTTCTTCTCCCTCCAGCTATGGGTAAATAGCAAGACAGACTGGTTTCTATAGCCTTGGATTGCAACTTGTCTTGGAGAAGGACAACTCTGAATTCAAAACCTGCAGAGGGTTGTTTGGGGGTCCTTGTGGCACATAGTGCACCATATCCCTGTATTCAACCCTTCAAAAAGTGTGGTTGGTTCTGCACAAATCCTTCACCACTATAATCAAATCATATGTGCTGGTGTCTGGCTGTCAGTTCCTAGGAACTGAGTTGCTGACCCTCATACTTTGAATACGATGGGAAAGTCCACCATATATATATATATATATATATATATATATATAAAGTTTTCAGATATGTGTATCTGTATATGTATATATATATGTGTATATATATATATATATACACACACACACACACACACACACACACACATATATATATCCATTAGATAGAAAATTACATATATACACATACAAATAGGAAATTTTTGCACACTTACATATTTTCATGTTCTAGTAGAACTTATTGCATGCATACTATTGTGTAGACAAATATACATACATATATATGTACATTGAGCAAAGAAACACACTTTATTTGTATGTTTACACCCGCACAAAGACACCCATATTTGCACAGTTCTCTTTGTAACATTGTTAGAAGAGTGATGTCCTCCTGGGTTCTATCTGACCTGTCGCATACATGATTAAATGTCAACCTCATTGCAAAGAATGTCCCTTAATTGGTCTCTTTATGTGTGACCTTAAGCATATGTATAGGCTCCTCGAGAATAACGAGCCAGAAAAGCTTATAACTGAAAATAGTAAAAAATAAATAAATCAAATAATAACAATAATAATAATACTGACAATATATAATAATAATAGCTGTACTTATAGTAGTAGTAATAATAATAACAACAACAATACTTATGGGCTAAAAAGTATAAAAATAATAATAGCTACACTTCTAATAATATATATTAATAATAACAATGCTGCCAAGTTGAAATAATAAGAAAGAATAGCATTATTAATGCAATATCTTGTGACATTAAGGAGGTTCATTCATTATGAAATAAATGAATCTGTTATTAATATTTCTTATTTATATTTTTTTACATATGGAATTTGTATTCAATATAAAAATATTGATATCAAAAACTAGGATTTATTCATATCATTGTTTTATTTTTACTAGAAAAATAATTTCTTATAATATCTTCATAAGTATTTTTACTTGAAATGGATTATTGATCTATATATATATCTATATATATTTTGTTAACTACCTACCTATCTATCTATATATATCTATATATATATATATATATAACAGACAGT